TTTTGGTTCCTTGAAACTTGAATGATGTTCCATTGTAGGAGTAGTAGTATAGCTTGGTGTACATGTTCAAGCAACTTCAATCATTTCTATATCTTCATTGCTTAATAATCTTGATGCTTCTTGAGGTGCTAGACTGAGTTGATGCATTGTAAGCATTAATTCTCTGATTTATTCTTGCATTTGAGCCATTGCACTCTTCATTTTAGTAAGCTCTGCTATAATAGCACAATAAAAAGAAAGGTGTCTATTTTCATAGAATACAATACTCAAAATTTTTAAAAAAAAATTTAAAAAAAAAAAAAAAAAAATCTAAAAATAATATTAGTTTAGAAGAGGGTAATCCACAACTTCTTATATGCTTATGTCTTATCAAGAGAAAGGGATAATCCACTCTTAATCAAGAAAAGAAAAAACTTTGATATTGTATATATGCTCTTGTCAATCTGTCAAAGATACAAACTTGAAGAAGATGCATAAACTTGTAGAATCCATATCAAAAAGAAAGTGATAAAATAGAAGAAAGTATGTATATTCAAGGAAGAACTAGAATGGCTATTGCCAAAGACTAGAAAACATAAGACTCTTGAAACTAGACTTAAAGTAAGAAAAGAATTGGCAAGAGTGAGAAAGGCCTCACTCTTGCCTCTATATATAATACTTAACTAAGAAATATGTGGCGACATGCTATAGGACCTCTAATATGCATCCAACTTGTATGACACATGTCTAATTTATAAGGCAAGTTTCTTAGGTGTATACCATATGTCCAACTTGTACTACAAGTGGTCAAAATATTGACACATGGCTTCCATGTTGGCCAAGTTTTCAACCTATTAATCACCTATAGATATGTATAAAGTCAAAGTAGCATCTATGAAGTTTTTGGAAAGCTTTTCATAAGATATCATATTTATCTATTTTGACTTACTTCTACCTATTCTTATTATCTAGATGATTATCCAGATAAATATGTATGTCCATGATATTAATAAGATAGAAAATCAATTTTCAAGAGATTCAATTCAAGAGCTATTATTCATTGATTTATTAATAAAAATATTGTAATTGTCACGATCTTCATGATAATATAATAATAATAAAAATAAAAAATAAAAAATAAATTTTAAAAATGACATGTTCATTTTTGAATAGATGGCAAGACATAATATATTTGGTATCATAACTTTAGAAGAGACTTCTAATATATAGTGATTTTATGGAAGGTAGAAACAATTCCTAATGGTTTTACAAATGTTTTGTTTGAATAAAGTTAGAGAGGCCTCAATAATGATCAAATATCAAGGATATCTTCTTGATTTAAAATGAGATATTATCACTGATTGAGTAGACCTATCAATTATCTTCAAAAAAAACAAAAATAAATGTATGTTATAAATATAATTTATCATATCTTGAACTTCATCAATATGTCTTCACTACTCTTTGTGGAATCTATTCCTAAAAAAAGAGGTAAAGTCATCTACAAACATAATTATTCCAATAATTATTTAGATAATATGAATAAATAGAAATAAATAAAAATATATTAAATTAATAATATCTTACAGAAAAGCTTCTTAAAAGCTTTATAGATATAATTTTATCTTTATACTTCTCTAAAGGTGATTAATAGGTTGAATACTTGGCTAATAAGTTAGCCATGTATTATATGTGTTGGTAGCTTGTGATACAAGTTAAATATGTGGCATACATTTAAGAAACTTGTCTTGCAAGTTAAGACACATATCTTACAAATTAAACATATGTCAAAGGTCCTATAGAACATTGTCATGTAGCTCTTATTTAGATAATATATATGGGGGCAAGAATAAAGTCTTTTTCACTCTTATCAATTCCTTTCTTGCTTCTACTATAGTTTCAAGAGTCTTTAGTTTTCTTATCTTTTAGCAATAGCCATTCCAATTTTGTTAAAAAAATATACATACTTTTTTATTTCTATTTTGTCATCTTTCTTTGAAAAAAGTCTCAATTATTTATTTGCCTTTAATGGAGCATATTTTTATCAAAATTTGAATTCAAGATTAAGTACTAATGAAAAAAATAACAAGGTTTGTTAGATACTCTTACTAAATATTTTTATCTTGCATTAAAAGAAAAAGATGTAGCTTGTTATCAACAATAAACAATTCTTTTGAAGTCAAAGCAATTTCATCTTCAAGCTAAAAAAATCAACATTAATTATTGATTTAATTTTTTTAAAGAAATTTCAATCAAATATGTCTTCAAATCCTTCTATTAATGATATAAAAAATAATCAATCTAAATCTCATGATATTTTCAAGTTTGAATTCAAGAATAACCTACTTTGTTTTGAAGGACATTTATATTTCCAAACGATGGAGCACAATTACATGTTCTTCAAGCTGATCAAAATTTTCCAACTATATGAAATTTTGGATATAACAAGACTTTAAAACTAATATCTAGATATCTTTGGTGGCTTCAAATATGAAAGATAATTAAAGACTTTGTACAATCATGTGATGTTTATTCATAATCATGGTGTAATATTGTAATATGATCATTAAATGAAAGAGAAAAAAAATATTATATTATAAAAAAACCTAAATAAAAATAATATAGCAAATTATCTTAAAAACATAGATAATAGAAAAAGGGTAATAAAAAACAATAAGTGTTCATATCACCTTTTTGTAAAAAATACCACTACTTACTTTAAAGAGCCAAAAATAGACAAATTAAAGTAGTTAAGAAAAATAATTAATATAAGCATCTTTGAAAAGAAGTAGTTTTTAGCAAAATTTACCTTAAAAAGCCAAAAATTGATACCTAAAGAAGACTAATTATAAACTAAGATTGAAATCAAATCCTAAGACACAAAATCAAGTACCTAAAGTAATTTTGAAATTCTTTGGTTGATTAGAGAGTAGAATTTGAGAGAAAACTGGTGATAGGTTCTTTGGCATCGATTATAAATGATTTGAGTTTGTATTAATTTTATAACGGCTTTGCAAAGTTAGTATTGATTTGAATTACTTTAAATTTTAAGAATTATAAAGAATTTCTACTTAAGAAAATTGTATAAGATTGATTAATGATCTATAATTAAAATTTTGCAATTACATCATTGATATCATGTTAAATTTGTATAATAAGTTTGAACTTGATCTAATAGTTTATTTAATGATTATTAGAATTTAAATATATTAGGATCTTGGAAATTGGAGTTTAAAGGATTAGTGAGGGTTTCTCAGATTTATAACGATCCTCCAATTGGATTGATTTAAAAGAATATATCATGTTAATAGTACTATATTATTAAACAACTCTTTTGCTATTGGTAAATTTTGCATATAATAATACGATACATTTTTCTATTCAATAAGATCAATATGTCTTAAATGTAAAAGAAAAAATCTTTTATTTAAATTAAAGCATTTCAAATTAATTGAGCAAGTATATAGAATTAAGACTACTAATTATTTTATATTTTTATCACCTCTAAAAAATTAAAGATTTATTTTTTACTTTATTTTTTTAATTGCTTTCAATAATTAAATTTAAAAACTATCTAATATTATTTCTAATTGTAATATCTCTTTAAAATTTAGAAAAAATATTTCTTTGAATAAATGTATATACAAGAAAAATCAATTATCTCCTCATGGTGGTGTTTCAACTATTTATTCAATATTTGAGAATTGATGGCAGCTCATGGTTATTTTTCTTACATAGATTTGCTAAAATCAAAATTTCTTAACTTGGCTTTCAATCAAATATGCTATATTATAATAAAAAATTATTTTTTAATCAAAATAAATTAATCAAAATAATGTAAAAAATCACATATAAGGATTTTTAAAAGGTTAATATGGCTCTAAAAATAAGATCAAAGAAATCAAGTAAAAATCATTTTTAAAAATTATTTAAAAAAAATTGAATGTCAAATCTTATTTTTAATACAAAAAAATAACTTATTGATACACAATTCAAAATCATGTATTGATAGATTCTTTAGAAAATAAAATACAGAAACAACCAAATAATAAAGAATGACTCTTAAAAAGAAAGAATATTACATAAATAATTAAAAAAAATGATTAAAATAAGAAACAAATCTATAATTAAATAGAACTCAAGAATGACTTAAAATAACTTAATAATTCATAACAACATAGAAGAATAATATAAACAAGCATTATACATTAGCTTGATTAATCTTATATTTGCCTACCATAGGATATAAGTTTGTATGTTGTTTATAGTTGTTTCAAAATTAATCAAAGAATTAGATATATCTTATTTCATATTAAAATCAAAAACACATGTGCACTAACTTCTAGTACTACTAGTGTGTACATGGAGTTCTATAGGATATGGTAGTGAAAGTACAAAGAATGAGCCACTTTTAAGGAACAACAAAGTATGATTCATGTGAGCAACGGAAGCTTCCTCGTCATTTTCTCATTGATGAGAAACTATCACACCCCCGCTCCCTTCTAATGACGTTATCGACGACGACGACCAGTGTCTACGTTTGGGTTGGAAACCCGATGAATCTTTGGAACTGTGGACTCATGAGCTCAACCCACCACGGCAAATCGGAAGCTGTCCAGTTGAGTTGCATTGCATTGAGTCGATGGTCGTGGAATTCGAGCTACGGAGCGGAAATTGCCGGCCGCCAACCGTCGCGATGGAGTCTTCTTCTCCCAATCGTCATCTCGCAGCAATCTCCTTAGCTTTCCACACCAAAGAGCTACAATCCTCATGTGGTGTCTGTTGGCTGTGTCCTCTAGCCACAATTCACGCATCGCACCCAATGCATGCATCGCACCCAATGCATGCATCGCACCCAATGCAGCTCCGCGTGCGGCCACACTGATGGTTGCACCATTGCGGTGGCTTGTCTCGAAGGGATGTGCTGTTGAGCTCTCGAGACGGCGTCACACTCGTTTCGTCAAATCTCTATCAGAAGGTGCGTATATCATGTGTTGGCATCTGCATTGGTTCAAATGCTTTTGACGCCTCCGACAACAAGTGGTCGGGGAAAAGTTTCGGCTTCTTTTTCCAGAGATAATTCTCTCTGGCGATGATTCGCACTGCCCATGCGCTCTTGACGAGCCTCGGGAGCAATCCCCACGATCCTGTGCGAGTTCTTGAATCCTTGAGCATCTTTCACAACCTCGAAAGGTCTACTGAAATCGAAGAATTCGATCTTACTGACAAATTTGAAGAAGAGGATGCGGTGAGTAATGTCGAAGGAAGAGGAGAAGCCTTGTCCTACAAAGTCGAGACCAGTTGAGCGGGGCGTGGTTCATACCCGCAGCAGAAGCTGTCGAGGGTGTCTGTTCTACTCCAGCATCTTGCGAGACAGCAATCAAAATCCTACATGTTACGGCTTCAGTCGCAGCGTTCCCCAATCATACAGAACCTTGGAAGTGAGAGAAGCTACAAAAGATTTCAAGTATGCGTGCGTGGGCTACGGCCGCCACAAGGAGGTCACCGCAAGCTCACCGAATGATAAAGACACCGAGATCAATGGTGAGCTCCCGCTATGCGTCGGGATTGAGATTCTGGCAGACAAAAGGCCTATGAATCAACTACCTCAGAATACCAAGCACGAGGGAGTAGATGAGCATGTGCGCAATCCACTGGTACGTCCTGGAGCTGCACCTGGGGAGGATTTCACGTCACGGTACTGTAGAAGTGCAAACAAAGTGGCTGCCGCAGTTGCGACCAACATCATCAGATTTACTAATGGGGTCAAAAATACTATGGATGACATACTCGGCTCTAACGATGACAAGAACAAGTAGACTGGAATCAACGGAGTTCTGCGCTCGAGCCTGTTTCCAACTTTGACGTGAACAGCTAAGTGTACAAATTCGTGTTGAAGAGAAAAGCTCCTCATTCCATTCGAAATCACAAGCTGTAATGGACTGATTTTTCGCTTCGAACTTGAAAGAATTATTGATCGTGTCATTAGGGGTTAAAAAATATTGCACCAAGTAAAAGATGCTGAAGGATTATGGTACAGGTCTGGAGCTGAGCTCCACATCTAAGCGATAGGTAAATACTATCAAACTATAGTATAAACCAGTCTGAGACTAAAGACGAGAAGTATGTTGCAGCGGTGTCATGGAGAATTAGACTTTTACCGGTTCATTGCTGACAGTCTCACTGAGCTGACATGTTAGAGTCTCCTTCAACAATCCCATAGGCAGCAGGCAAACCATCCACGTTTTGAAAATCTACCACGAGGTATACTTTGAGAAGCAAAAATGGCCTGCAAGTCTATTCTTCGTCACCCAACCATTCAGAGAGTGCCTGCATTACAGCTTCTCCTTGATTCGGTCCATCGCTGGACTCCTCTGGCAGATGGGCGTCTGTGGTGTTGGAAGTTTTCTCCGGGGGCAGCACTTCCACGGGCGTCGCAGGAATCATGGACCACCAATCGTTGACACGATTGAAAAATTCCTCCACGCTTTTTCTTCGGAAGGGCAACTCAGCAGTGAATTGATCAATGAGAACTCCGGCCAAAAGATATCGGAAAGGAACAAACCAAGTAACGATGCCCGCTCCAAGAAGAGACCAGAGTACCTCGTTTGTAGACTGTCCCACATAGACGATCAACATAAGTATCTTTGAAAACGGAATTGATTAGAAATGTTCGGGTATCATGTGAAAATATGGGTACAAAATCACAATTAAGAACAGTGAATGATTGAAAATGGATAGCAAGAGGGAAGATAATCACTAACATGCAAGTCGCGAGAGAGTGCAACGCTCCGCAGTTTCAGCAGAGCAATATTTGTATTTTGAAGGAAGTCTTCAAGTGAGGTCAATGCATCCTTAAGCGCCATGATTTTTTGAATTGTGTTTGTTTCTGGTTGATCCCGAATGGTCAGTTTTCCGAAGTCATCCGTAAGACGTCCTTGCGCTTTCAGGCCTCGCAAAACGCAAAGTATTCCCGCGCAAGTAAGAAGAATCGTGGGAAATACGTAGCGGAGCCAGTTCCTGGATGTCAACACAAATTTACATTTCACATCAGCAAGATGAAGAGCAGCAAATTGTACTCTAAACGTTTATGCTACCAAATATTTGAATGCATTTGAGGCGGATGAGGTATGCGTAACGTACATGTACACCACACCCAGAGCTGCAATTAAAAACCCTGCAGTTGCTCCAGGCTCTTCCCACCGTTTCAATTTTTGAACGTTCGTAGCAATTATTGAGAATGGTAGCAAAAGCTCCTGAAAAATAGTGAACCTCACACGAGCTTAATGTTGGTATGAATTCATTGTAAGACATCCTCTCCAGCAACATGTAGACGAGAAAACATGTTCTACAAATTTTCTTTGAATCTGGCGAAGTGATCTACTTGGAGATGAGAAGCTCCACCTTAAGCAGATCCACATTGTTTGGAATACCCTTCAATTTAGCTCCATCAATGGTTGCCTTCGTTTTATCAACGACACGGCTCTGTTCACGCCATTCTCCAACTGCCCGGTCTAAATTCGTCAATCCCCCCACTGAGAAATTCTTCCCGAGCACTAAGCCTTTTGATCCCCCTTTATGAGCTTTCCAGAAGTTCTGGGACTTGATTGAGTCCCACGTTTGCGATGTCATCCATTTGGAAAGATAAATGCTACCATCCTCGCTCACAACGTTCTGCCCAGTTCCTACTTGCTCCTCCTCTGCCCCATTTGATGCAGACAACTCCTTGGCCTTTGAGTCTACGCGGCCAGCCCAATTCGTGACTGCAAGGGCCTCGAATACCAGCTCCGCACTTGGAGCATCCTTCGTGGAACAAAACTGGAGTAGGCTTCTTGAATCATCTGGCGAGTGACCAAGAGCGTGCTGAACAGCCTATTTCCAAAATGCAACACATTGACAAGTTATAAATGGCAAACATTAGGTACATGTGACGCCCTTCATCAATACGAAATCAAGTGCCTCTTAGACTGAGGTCCAGAGCGAAGAGGATACCTGTAGTCTGGCAATGCCATTCGAAGCAGATGCAAGCGCCCTCTTACTCCCCAGTACCGACCCATCCATGTAGTTCAAAGAAGGGTCATTATCTCTTGGGCCATACTCCCGAATGAACCAATGTGCTAAGACAATTTCTTTGATGATGGCTAACCAGATGTCACGCCGTTTCTCGCCTCCAAAATTCACAAACTCTAGTATCCATGGCTCCGAACTGAGAATTGAAAGACAACATTTTGACGTCAGAAACCAAGACGTATAACGCCTGTGTTGTAAGAATACACGGGCCGCCTGCAACAAGAGAGGCACAAAGGAGAACCATCAACGAAGCAAAACTAGGCAAAGTGGTGAAAAGACACCAGCTGCATTGCTTACTCTGGGCTGGATGCTATAGAGATAGCGGAGTCAAACAATTCCGCTCCAAGGGGTCCAACTCTTCTGTTATCAATAACAGCATCCCCGCGTGTCAAGTCCAATCTGACGGGAGCTTGGTGCGAAGTTAAGCTGTTAGCCTGGACAGTGCAAACTTGATCTCAGAAAATAACAAGTTATAAGACTACAATATAAATTTTATTGCTACTACTTGCATGTTTGGCACACATAGTGAGAAGTCTCCATTGCATCAAAAAATCCAATTGAATTTAGAATTTAGGGGAAAAAAAAATCGATTTATCTGCACAGCTAGCAGTAATGTTTGTTTCAAAACTCATTGAACTTTAATTGAAATTCATATGACGAGGAACAATCAAGACAAAATCACATCGCAATCCACTACTGAATTCAAAAGACGGTGCTCACTTCAAAATACAGAGCGCGATTAGTAAGCGTAAGTCGACCAGGCCACACCATAGTGCCATTCCATTTCTGCACTGGTTGTCGTTTATTTTGTCCGACACTAAGGACTTCTTCATCCGGTTCAAGGCCAAGGGTTGAGGCCTCCATCTGCTGATAGTTCTTCCTTTCGTCGAGTACACTGTGGATACATGATTGACTTACAATCAGAACAAAAATATGAAAACCACCTGCAAATTAAGAGCTAAAATCTCGATGTCTCACGGCCAGATCACAGATAAAATGATGCTGTCGAGCAATATCATCTTCAAGCAACTGAGATGTGGTGCAGAATAATGAGATCCCAACAGCTGGACACCGTCAATGTACTTACCCGCACAGCTCTTGGATATATGTGTCCCATACTTCAAATGATAGCCCCTTCATGTCATGAGTGAGGACCTTATACAGACTGTGTGCTGTCACTCGATCCGCAGCTCCAGAGATCGAGGAAGCTATCCTAATAAATGCTTCTTCTCCAACTAAACCTCTTGGCTGGCAGCACGAAGGCACGAGTTATAAGAACATATTGGAGGTCTCATCAAGATCACGAACTGTTCCTCTTGAAAGTACCCTAGATTCTGCACGCCTTCTATCAACAATACAATGAAGCAAAATAATCAAGCTCAATTACGCATCTGCTTGCACCATCCTCGAAAAAATATGATAGCACTTGGTTGAATACTTACAGGTTTTGATCGTTTACTACCATTATTTATGGACCTAAGATCCTCTTGGTAGGGCCGCTGCCATGCTAACATTGCTGTGAATGTCAAACGCCGGAAGGCTGCATCCTGTTTAACCATAAACAATCTCAATTAATTGGTCTAATTTAAAGATCTCTATCGTCGTTATGCTAACAACTTTTCGCACTATGAATCACGTAAAAGATACCCTTAGACTACCAAAGCAGTAGCTGTCAATGATGAAACTGATCTTGCTAATGCAAACTGATCCACAAATTTCATATCTGAAACTAGCACTTCTTTAATTGCAACAAAGGAAGCACATAAAGGTCGCGAAAAGGATTAGAAAGGATGTTTACTGAGAGTGAAGGGTGAAAATCAGCGTCCGAGCGAACCAAATACCGAAATACGCAAAACTCGACAAGATTCCGAGCATCATTCTGAACATAAGTAGACGCAGTTGCTTCAAAGTCTGCCCTCATCTTCTTTCCAGTCACTCCATTTAATCTAGGGTACATAAGAACAGAACAAGGAGCTCGGATTATAACAATCACATATGCCACATTTGTGTTGTTATCCGTTAACACAACAAATCTACATTATCCTAAAAGTCCTTGCAAGCGATAAACCTGACTGTTCCAACAAAAGCGTCATCATTCAGACTTCCAAAAGGGTAGCAAACCATGAATGACGGCATATGTACTTGCGAAATATGGTGTGGTTCAAATTTGCCTTCACCACTGCGACCGCATGACAAACTGCTACCACATTCTGTTTCCGGAAGCCAAGATTTCCATCTCAAATCAACCATATTACTTCCTACACCTATTCCCTAAATCCGTAAAAAGAATTGAGCGAGCAAAAGGCGAAAGAGCTGCATTAAGTGTCGTCGAGACATACCTGCTAAATTGTTCGATGACATTTATGGCAGCTGGAGAGAGATATCCTCTTGACGTTTGAGCATCTACTGTGTGTTCTTTAAACAGAAGTTCCTCTTCAAAATCAGTATATTCATTTTTCTGTGGAACAACTGGTTTTTGTGCAGCTTCTTCTCGCTTACTGTGCTCATTTTCCTCCCAAAATCGCATTTGTTTCGGAATTTTGAATGAAGCAGGTAGCCAAGATTTCGGCTCATTAAGCCTAAATTCAGCAGATTTGTATTCTGCAAGCCAATAATTTGTCAGTTTCAGCCCATAGCAGTGTAACAGAACCAACCAAGGGAATTGCATCATTAGACGGCATTTTGAAAATATCTTGGCCAGGCCAAATGAGACAGTTGAGAATGGAACAACTTAGAACCAAAATATATTACGAGGTTTGATTGAAGAAGGTACCTGCTCGAGTAGAGTATTTAGAATAATTCATATTACCACTTAACAGCATGCCACTTTTAGATCCGGCTGATTGACCCATATCGTGAGATCCAAAGCTATGAAGTTTGCGAAATCGTGGCTTCCCAACACTTATCCTTAGTGATTTTGGCAGGTTGTCTCGTACCCCAACTTGTGACCTTTGGTAACATACTCTTTTTCTAATTTGCAATTTCACCCTAGAATTTGCAACCGCTGCTCTAATGCTTCTATTGCACATTGAGTTAGAAGAAGCCACTGTATGTTTCATTGTCGCCATGTTCTCTCGTGGAACTAATGTACCAACCATCTCCGCAGAGTCTTCTTCCACTTGCTACAAGGCAAAAGAAAAAAAAAAAAAAAAAAAAAACTCTAAATGTTGTCCTCGCAGGCCTCACTTTAGGTCTTACGATCCAAGAGTACGTTCTCCAAAGTTCAAAATGATATATTCTGCAAGGTACAACAATAGCTTAGAGATTTGAGTTTACCATGTGATATTTGGTAAGCAGCACCATCACAACTCATGCCAAGCACAAAACAAAAGTGGAGGGCACACAAGGTCGATTAGTCATCACAATTACACCGCTGACACTCCACAAAGCTGAAAGAAACAAATGCAGATTAAAGCCAGGACCTCATTATTATTGCAAAAATTCGTTAAGCAAGACATCTCCTTTTTACGATGCCACCAAAGCTATTTTGACAGTAAGTAACCAACAGTGGGAGTTGGAGAATAACGGAATCAATGTGAGGAACCCAAGAGCAGGAGATTCAGCTTAATCTGAGAAGATATTGCAGGTTACCACCCAGCGTCAACAGCAAAGCCATTCACAGAAACTCATATCACGCAGGGCTAGAGAAACAACACTCGCTCACCAAACCAAAAGGTACACCAGGAGCACAGACACACTGCAACTGAACTAAAATTTCTCATGAGAACTCCCAATCACGCAGCTGAATCAAGAAAACACAAAAAACGCTTTTACCCTCTCTCGATATGCGACCTCCGCTTCCGATACCACCTTTCCAACCCCGCAGCGTTCATGCGAAACAAATCTACTCGACGACGACGACCCTGGGAGTTCCAATTCCCTCCTTGCCGAGTACTCAACAGACCAAACGCAGACCCCGAACTGCCACAAATTTTAAAAAGACTCACTCCGATGTTTTAATAAAAACGAAGTTTCCAGTCGACAATGAAACGATACCACACAAGGCGTGTTGCAGGTGTGCCAAGTGTAGCATGATCGGAGGTTTGTTTGAAGGGATGAGAAGAGGCGCAGAGCTTACGAGTGGTCGGACACCACTCGCGTGAATGAAGGCGAGCTGAGGCCGAGCCAGGAGCTGGCAATGGCCGCGTCCTCAAAAGCGTCGCTGCTGCTGCTACGGCGAGCCACGCTGACACCCCTTGGCTGCCACCTCAGCTGCCCATGCGATCCCTCGGATGCACGCCACGTGTCGCGAGGCTTGAAGCGTCGATCTGAGTTGACTCAATACTTGTGGAGGGGAATCTATTGGAATCTCATATTGAATATTCTTAGACAAAGTGCCATTTTGTGACGCAGTTTCCTTTGATAATGGTATTCTTGGTAATTTTATAATGGTTTGTTAGAAACTTTAATTCTTGATGCAAAAAATAAAATAAATAATCATAAACACCTTTCTTTGTTTTTGGCGACTCTTTTGTACTTCTTATTGTGCATGGCTGTATGCTTATGATGTTTGTTATTTAAATGAAAATGAAAATAATAATAATAATAATAATAATAATAATAACTCAGTGTTGTTGGTTGTCTATGCATTTTTTTTAATACATGATGAATAAAATTAATTACAAATTTAGTAGTAGTATATTTAAATAAATCATTTGTTCAATTTTTAGTTTGTATAATAATTTTTGTAAATACATATTGCAACATTAACCAACTTGTTTATAATTAGATCCATAGCTCTATTTGTGGAGGAAGGTTTTAAAAAATAATTGTTTTTATTATCAAATCATACTAAAGTGTAGGTGACTTAACCACCTTCTCATTTATAATACATGGTGGGCTAATCACTTTATCTATTCACACTAGTTTCCTAACTTCTCCCTTCTAATCTTTTTTTACATCAGCTCTTCTTCTTCTTTTAACTCTATTTACACCGAGCCTTCTCTTCTTGTTTTAATTCTTTTTCATGCCAATATTTTTTCTTCTTCTTCTTCTTATTCATTTCTTCTTGTTTTAATTCTTTATCACTTAGTTTTTTTTCTTTCTTTTTTTATAATAATTTATACCCAAGAGTATCCTAAAATTACATCTCTTAAAGAGTGAAAAATATTTTATTTTATATTTAGATTAGATTAAGTGGTATGTATAATTTTAAGGTTAATATTAATGTCTCATAGTTTAAGTGTAATGCCACTTAAGTTATATTTGCTACTTTAATATAATACAAAATAAATTAAAGAAAATATAATATTTTTTTTGATAAATAAAGTCAATATAACAATTGAGATTGTAGTAATTAATGTGCCAACTTAAAAATGACTAATTTATATATTTTTATAATATATTCTTAAAACTAGTTATGTAATACATGCTTAAATTTATTTAAAAGTACCATTCAAATATTATTAAATGACATGATTAATTATCATAATTTTGATTCTTAAAATATATATATATATATATATATGAAATATTTTTTAAATAATTTATTTTTCAATGCAAAAAAAGATGTTCATTTCTGAAATAACATATTAGTTAATTAAAAAATATATATAATTAATAAATTATGGCACCTAGAATAATCAAAATTTATTATAGGAATTTCAACTTTTAATATGTTTGATGCAATTGATGAAATAATCTCTTTGTAAAAAAAAAAAAATAAATAAAAAAAAAAAAAAATGTATATCAATCGAGATTCTATTTATGTTCATGTTTATATTTTTTAGATATATTAAATTAAATTATTTTTATATAAATTCTTCTATTAAAAATATCTTTAATTCTAATTTTTAAATTTCAAATTTTATTTCTTTGCTCTTGTATAATTTGTATAACATGGTATAGATAAGATATTTGTATAGGAATAGATAGTAAGAACTATGGAAGTTTCTAAAATTGAGATTAAATTAGTGTCTTAAATAGAATCTACCATGAAACATTCTAGAAAGAGTTTAGGGCGGTTATTTAAATAAGGCCCAGCATAGAACCTTCTAGAAAAGTCTTAGGGCAGTTATCTAAGTAGGGCCTACTATAGAATCTTCTAGAGGGAGTTTAAGGTGGTTATTGAAGAGAGGTCCATTACCTAAGAATATTCTAGAAAATCCACGGTGATAGATTAAAGTATAAATAGGACTGACCAAGGCCTTTTGGAGCATCTGGTCAAGTATGACTTTGGACCCTTTCTCTTAATACAATTTGATTTTATATCTTTCTATTTTATTTTATATCTTCCTATCTTAATTTTATATCTTCCTATCTTAATTTTGGTTGCTCAGTTTTATCTTTCATATTCCATTCTCTTCAATTTAGTTCAGTTTTATTCTGGTTCAATTTGTCCTACCTTGTGATGAGGTTTTATGTTGATATGAATTAGAAGGGTCTTGAAAATTTGAGATAGACTAGTGATGTTTCATTGGTATGAAAGCGAGTATTAGACTATTTAATTTTGGTAGTGTATCAACACTCATCACCTACTCCAAGATTAGTTATTGTAGTCAAATTGGATATTGTGTTGAAGCTACCATGAGCTATTCTTAAAAAATCAACAAGGAGGTGAGAAGGCATTATAATAGTAGAGTTCAATTAAGAAATTATAGCATGGAAGATGTGATTGTCGTTTTACTTACTCTAACTTATCTAATCAGAGTAAACCTGTATAGGGGAATTCGAACACAGGGAAAGAATACCGCATGAGCTTACACGTTAGGGTCACACAATTAACTGTATTCCGCACTACTTAAAACATCCAGGAAACACTACAATGTTTTCCACTTCCTAATAATACTCCACCATCACTGATAACAACAACATGTAATCCCGCACTATCCTAAATGACAGGACATAATCATACTATAATCCAAATTCTGGAGTTCTTCACCATTAACTGCCTTCACATTACAGTGTTTCACACAAACACAGACTCATTCTCTCTGCTGAACTACATTCAGATTTCAGCATTCAATCTCTCTTCTTCTCATTCAATAACATATAATTCCATTCACACTTTCATTCCATGATTCACTTCACAATATTCAGAAACTCTCAATACTCTTATTTCAAAGAACATAACAACAAAAGAAAAGAGGTAGCACCAAGCTTACCCCGGCTCACACTATCACAGTAATGGCCCCTACTTCCTCTCTCCCATCCTCCTTATGCTACCACGAGATACCAACTGCTACATCTCTAATGAAAACTGCTTTTCCTAACTATTCATCCATTTTACCTACTGAACTACCTTTTCAACAGTCATCTATCCCTGTTTACACTATGAACTAAGTATCTACAATTCAACAAATAACTACTTATTCTACAGAAGATATGGCAGAGCAATCTCAAATTGAGGCTCAAATACAACACCTTTTAGGCCAGATAGCTACTTTGCTAAAGCAAATAAAAGCCTCGAGAACAAGGGAGTCAACATTTGTTAAGTAGAAATTGAATTAGCCTAGTACATACTTTAAAACTTGAAGACAAGAAGATGTATATCAATGGCTCTTCAACATGTGATAATACCTCCAATTATCTAGGGCATATACCACTGAAGGAATTATATATGCAGCCAGCTATTTGAGAGATGCGGCAACCATTTGGTGGCTACATTGAGTTCAAAGTTATAGAGCTTAAGGTGGATTTGTGATTCGGAGGAGTTTGAGACCAAGTGTAGAAATTAATTTCGGCCCATCAATACAAAGAATATAACACTCGATCAGTTGGCAAATTTTTCATAATTTAGGTTGGTGTAAGATTATATCTTTGGATTCAAATCCCTATATCTCCAAATTGATAATGTTTTGGAGGTAGAGATGATAGAACAATTCCTACAAGGTTTAAAATCTAGGATCCAACAAGAGGTGGGACTAAAGAATCTACAAACATTTGAAGAAGTAATCTAGATTGCAAAGAGGATCGATGCGATAGATTTTAGAAATCATGGAATAAATCCTATAGTACAAAGTTCTATGCCACTATCTAATACTATAATACAGCAATCAATGCCAATAGAGATTGATGCCATACAAGGATGATTGACACCACAATAATAACAAATATAGTACAAAAGAGATTGTGTTTTTATTGTCAGGAGTCAAACCATCAGATTGGAGGTTGTTCAAAACGTCAAAATTCAAGCACCAATAAGACAAGGTGGATTCACAATCTCAAAATTCATGAAATCAATAATGAGACAAAGCAAGAAAATGAGGCTCTTCAATAAAGGTATTGAGGGCTAGTAGTGGAGATAGCTTTTATCTCTCAAAGATAAATGGCATGGCCTCAAATAACTATAAAAAGAATTGATTGGTGTACACTAAGAGGACAACCATATTCAGTGCTTGTAGATTGTAGCTCTACAAAAAAATTTATCTCAACTGAAATTGCTAATTAGATTGGAATTAAAACTAAAGCAATAAAGGAAAGAAATATATATCTTACAAATGATCAAGAAATTGTATTAAGTAAAACATGTGAAGAAGAAACCTTAAGGTTGATTGATAACTACATCTTAAGAGAGAGGTTCAAGGTGACAAAGTTAAGATATGATATTATCATTAGTATATCATGGCTAGAGATGGAAAATAAGCAAGTTGATTGGATATCAAGGACAATTTCTTTTAATGATAGTGGATGCAAGGTAATTCTTTATACATCCATATCAAATAAGAAAAAAAAATCAATCTCCAACCAAAGACTTACTTGTAAGGACGACCTTCATGAAGAAGCAAATATAACATAAGTAACCAATATATATGGTGGTTCCAAATCTTACATCAGTAGTAGATAAGACAATCAAAGGAGCAGAATGGGTAGAACAATTTATACGAGAATATTGGAATTTTTTTTCAACCAACCTACCTAGTGGCATGCTTCTTCATCGAGATGCCCTCTTTTAAATAGAACTATTGCTAGGAGCCAAATCAGCAAGTTGACCAATTTATTACCTAACACCAAAAGAACTTAAAGAGTTGTAGAAGCCATTGGATAAATTCTTAAAGAAAGGCTTCATTTGAAAAAGCACATCACTATGGAGAGCACATGTATTCTTTGCACCTAAGAAAGATGGTGGACTTTGCCTTTGTATCAACTATCAAGGCTTCAAT